GTTATGCACTTTTTTAATTGTGTTTTCTGCGTTTTGATCCCTCTGTTCCCCGAGGATCTTATTGCATTTAAAAAAACAGAGCTTCTGAATCTTAGTCTTGACAATTTTGTACAGCAAAGCCTCACTACTTTTATTTTATTGCATCATCTTGGTTTTCAGCGTTCATGTTATTCAAATGCTTGGTCCCACCAGTCAAATGGCCGTCTCTGCCTCCAATACAATACTATCACATATATATTTTAAATTAAATTAATTATGAGTACACTAACTGTAACAAGTTATAACGTGAGGGGTTTGCATAGTCCAATCAAAAGAAAAAAAGTTTTGCTGCAACTCAGACAATCAAAATGTCACGTAGCACTGTTACAAGAAACACACCTATCAGATATGGAGCATATAAAATTAAATAGGTCTTGGGCTGATAAAGTTTACTACTCGTCACATTGCTCTGGTAGAAAAAGGGGTGTTGCTATATTAATACATAGGCAAATAAATTTCACTGAAACGTTGGTACATAAAGACAAAGAGGGTAGATTTATATTGGTAAATGGGATAATTGATGGAACAGCTGTATCCTTTATAAATGTATATGCCCCTAACGAAGATGTACCAGGGTTTATTCAGTCAGTTTTCAATATGATTGCAGAATACAGTTCTGGTCTGCTGATCGTCGGAGGGGATTTTAATTGTGTAATGTCAAATCTAGATAGACAACCACTCTCTCGGACACCCATATCTAAGATGGGTAAAATGCTTAAAAATATGTCTGTGGAAGCCGGATTAGTGGATGTATGGCGATCCAAATTCCCAAAAAATAGAAATTTTACATTTTACTCAAATCGACATGCATCTTACTCACGAATAGATTACTTTTTTACCACCAAGGCCGAACTACACAGAGTTGAGGATATCATAATATCGCCCATCACAATCTCTGACCATGCACCCGTTACCCTCGAGTGGAATATAGGATTGACACCATCATTTAAGCAATGGAGACTTAATGCCTCCCTTCTTAATGACCAAGAATTCATAAATTTTGTTAAATTAGATCTAAAAAATTATTTGGACATAAACAATACCCCTGAAACATCTCCTATTATGTTGTGGGACTGTGCAAAGGCTTATTTAAGAGGTAGTATCATCTCCTATACAACAGCAAAAAAAAGACAAAAGGCAGCCAAACAGAAATACTTAGAAGATAGAATCCAAGATCTGGATCTTCAACATAAAAAGACTAGAGCATCCGGGACCCTGAATGATTTGAACACTGCACGGAGAGAGCTCCAAGATTTGCTATCGGAAAAGATAGAAGGTAACCTTCGTTTTGCCAAGCAGCAGTATTATGAACATGGAAATAGAGCGAGCAGACTCTTGGCCTTCCGACTTAAAAAACAACAGTCCTCAAACGTAGTTTTAAAGCTGAAATCGGGCAATAAATCCATCTTAAAACCAAAAGATATTGCTGAAACATTTGCGGAATTTTATAAGGTTTTATACCGTGACACGGACACTTGTGACGATGAGAATAAAATAGCAGACTACTTACAAAATATAAATATTTCAGAATTATCTGATACTGTAGCTAAACAATTAGATCAGCCAATTCAAGAAGAAGAAATAAAAAATGTTGTCTCTTCCCTTAAAAATAACAAAAGTCCTGGTCCTGATGGTTTCATAAATGAATTCTATAAGTGTTTCATAGACATCGTTAGTCCACTATTATTAGAAGCATATCGCTTTTCTTCAGAAACTAAAACAATGGCGCCATCTTGGTCTGATGCCACAATAGTTGTATTACATAAAGAAGGTAAGGACCCTACTGACTGTGGGTCATATAGGCCATTATCGATGCTTAACGTGGACGTACGCATTCTAACTGGTATTCTGGCAAGACGATTAAATGTCATAATAAATAAAATCATACATCCAGATCAAACCGGATTCATTGTCGGGAGGCATTATGGAAATAATTTACGGCGTTTATTAAATATTATCTCTCACCAAAAAGAAAATAAAGCTATGACAGCTGTAGTGTCTTTAGATGCCCAAAAGGCCTTTGACCGCGTATCATGGAGATACCTTATTCAAACATTAAAGAGATTTAAATTTGGGCCGAAATTCATAGATTGGATACATAGATTATTTTCATCCCCACAAGCGGCTGTAAGAGTTAATGGTTTCAGGTCGGCGAGTTTCAAATTGGAGCGCGGATGCAGGCAGGGGTGTCCTCTGTCACCTCTTTTGTTTGCAATTAGCATTGAGCCACTGGCCCAGCTCATTAGAGATACTGATGAAATGAAAGGGATCTTGATTGGCACAGAGGAACATAAAATATCCCTTTACGCAGATGATGTACTTCTATATATGGCTGATCCAACATCCTCAATTCAACGTCTGAAGGAAATGATTTCTGTTTATGGCAATTTTTCTGGTTATAAAATAAATGTTGATAAAACAGAAGCAATAGATATCAATTGCAATGTTCCACTGGAGGTCAAACAACAGAGCGGCTTTAGGTGGCCAAAGGAGGGCATTAAATACCTAGGCATCAACATTCCTCTTTCATTAAAAGATTTGTATCATGTCAATTCCAGTAAAATATTGACTACAATTATAAATGACCTGGAGCGGTGGTCAGCATCGCCTTTGTCCCTCCTCGGTCGCATTGAAACCATTCGCATGAATTTGTTACCTAGATTACTGTATTTGTTCCAGATGTTACCGGTTAGCATACCTAGGGCCACATTCATTGAATTGGATAAAAGTATATCAAAATTCATATGGCAAAGCAAGCGCCCTCGCATAAAATATAAAACACTACAAAGAAGTAAGACAGAAGGCGGTCTCAAGCTTCCTGTTTTAAAATATTATTTCTGGGCAGTTCAGTTAAAACCTTTAATTTCATGGATCCAACAGGATTCTCAAACAAGATGGCTGAGCATTGAGCAAGCAAAGTGCTCAGTACCATTAAAAGTTTTGCCATTTTTAGATATTCCAGTAAAGGAACTGCATTGTGGACTAAAACCACTCTTGACATTTGGAATAAAGTGCGAATTTCTTTCAAGCTACCAGGAGGTTTATCAATTTTATCAAGCATTGGACATATTCAATCCTTCACACCCAATCTATTGGACAAAACGTTTTCTAAATGGGCTGAACAGGGGCTTACATTTCTTCATCAGTTGATCCACAAGAACAACCTTATGGCATTTGAAGAGCTATGCAGGAATTTTCATCTCCAGAAAAGTGATTTGTTTAGATATTTACAGCTGCGCTCATTTCTAGTTGCACACAGGGACTGGGAAAGAGTGCTTAACTCCTCACCAATTGAAAAACTCCTAATTCATTTTCAGAAAGGGGGAGGAGATAAAAAATTGATAGCAAAGTTATACAGTGTATTTCTGTCAATGAACCTCAACGATCCCACTAGGACAAAACAAAGATGGGAGGCAGAGACGGCCAGAATAATCTCTGATGAAACATGGGAGGGAGTCTGGACTGAGGCACATCGAGTTACAAACTCCAATACGTGGCGGGAATATAAATGGAAAATCATAAGTAGATATTTTAGGACCCCGGATGTTGTTGCCAAGATGGATCCTAGAGTACCAAGCTTGTGTTGGAGAAACTGTGGCTCAGCGGTCCCCAATCATACACACATTTTCTGGTCATGTCCCAAACTACTAAACTTTTGGGATGAGGTGTACAGGACTATGAACCAGATCTTCACAGAGGTTATACCGAGGGATGTTACTGTTGCGGTACTTGGTATTATACCGGAGGGTTTGCAAGGACGGGCCAAAACTTATCTGTTGAATGTTCTTTTTACAGCAGCCCTGAAATGCATTACAATCAGGTGGATGCAGTTGGAGCCTCCTTCCTATGATTTATGGGTACAAAAAGTAAGAGAGTTGTACACAATGGAAAAGATAACCTACTCATTAAGACTTCAAAAAACCACCTTTAGCCTCCGCTGGGGGCCAGCAGAAGCTATGTTGATGTAAATAAGCTTAACAAGTTTGTTTCTTGCATATGGTGTTGAGCTATTCCATCCAAAGTGTATGCTTATGCTGGGGTCTCAGGATGATGTGCCTACAAATTCGAGGCTGTGATTATAAGGCATCAAGCTAAGATGTTCATTTTTGTTTTTTTTTGGAAAACTGTATATTTTCAACTTTTGTGTTATGTACCATTGATGCGTGGCTGTACAATTGCTCTGTAAAAAATAATAAAAGTATAAGTTCTAAAAAAAAAAAAAAAGAAATATTTCAATAAACCTTTGAACTTTTCTCCTGCTTCAGTGTGTTCTGCATGTGGGTTAGGAACCTTAAGCCAAACATGACATTTATCCTTTAAAATATTTTGTGCTAACATTCTATTTTATTTAATGCTGTGATTTATGGTACGACTAACTGTCTCTATTTACTAATTATTTATTTTATAATATTTTATAATTGAAGTTTCTGGCCTAAATTTCCCGTCAGGTTTTTTTCTGAGCGCTGTTCCATCCTGTTGCTGTCATCGTCCGTCCCTCACATGGCGAGCTGTTAGGATCCTTCCAGGATAACTGGATCGATCATCCAGGATATGAACTGAAAACTGCTGTTATGTTTTTGTTTGTTTTATGAAATTATATCTGTTAATTCTATTGATTTTTTTATATAAATATACACACATCCCTATAAATTATTATCATATATCTCTTATATGTAGATGATGTTTTTACTTTGAAGATGTTAAATACAGGATTCTTCACCATCATTCCTATTTGTTTGTCACTCCTTGACTGTGAACCTCGTTCTGACGTTCCTTCACAGTCAGTCCTGCACTAACAGGACAGCGTTACACAGGAAATCAATTCCACACTCCAACCCAGTTTTATGGTGTTTCTTTGTTTCAAACATGCCGGATAAATAAAATCCCAGATGATCAGATTCCAGCTTACAGCTGCTTATCCTCAGTGGAAAAGAAAATGAAATATTTTCCAGAAAGCGTACCCACTGGAGGACGTGCTGGCCAGCGAGCGCCGCAGGCTGACTGGATGGTTGATGGACTGATTCAGGTCGTAGGCCAGATGACCTTGAAGCTCCCCAATAGAGAAACCAGTTCCCACTCCTGTAACCACTGGAGCTGCACACAGAGACAGAGAGAACCACAGGTCAGGATGAGACCACAGACAGGTGGAGGCGTCACGCCAAACACCTGACAGGAAATGTCTAGAAAATCTGGATCTACAGGGTTACTGGGAGAACATTGGTAGGACACTGGGAGGAGACTGCAGGCCATAGCCTCCTGTGTAGCTACAGAACCAGTGACATTTTCCAGTTCAGGGTTTCAGAGGTTGTTCTTTTACCGTTCAACTCTTCTCTTCCACCATGAGCAGCAGATAGCCTACATGCTAGCCATGTTATCATTGCTATTTTGGCCTCTTGAATAAAAGTCCAGGAGGGTTGATTATTTGAGGTTACCATGGTGACTGGAACGAGGATTTAGATGGACCAGAAATGACCTTTATTGTATCTCTGTGGTCTGTCCCAGAAGGAATATTAAAGTAGGAAACAAGCAAAAAAAAAAGAAAACTAGAATGAAAAAACAAGCAACAGTGTCTCTGAGAAGGAGGGACATTATAAAGTTGCCTGTTTATCTTTGTATAAACCAGGAAGAGACTAATGAGCAGAGATAAAAACAGCAGCTGCTTCAAAGTCTAACAGCTGCTGGGAGGAAGGATCTGCAGCAGCTTTCCACTGTTCACTAAGGAAGCAGCAGTTGTTCACTGAACGATCTCTACAGCAGCCTCATGCAGGGGGGTGGGGGGGGGGGGGGGTGGGGGGGTAACCGTTTCTGTCTGCAGCAGAAAAGCTCCAACCATGAAGACTACTAATTTAAGCACAGAGTTAACTTTCCTTTTCCTGCTTTAGAAGCAATGCTTCAAATGATCCCAGTAGTGTGTTCAATGAAAGATAGTCCCCATGAACAGAAGCTGCAGTACGGGGGCCATCTGGGGGGGGGGCCCAGCCACTGGTGAGGATGTGCTGATCCCTGGTGCCAGTTTAACACCTGTAATCAGGAGGAGGACTTACCTCTGGAGACATGGACCAACTCAGGGACACTGAAAACTCCTGAAGTCACAAAGCTTTCCTGGAACTCTGGACCATCTGCAGAAAGAAAACAGCTTTTAATCCAGACATTCAACAAAGTGTCACATAGACGTACATATGATCATAAAACTCTACTCAAAAAAATTACACTTTGTAATCAAGCATCAAGTTGATTAAACTTGTGGGATATTGATTTGGTCAGGTCAGTAGCAGAGGGGCTGTTAATCAGTTTCAGCTGCTTTAATGTGAATGAAATGAACAACAGGTGAACTAGAGGAGCAACAATGAGACGACCATCAGAACAGGAAAGGTTTTACAGGTGGAGGACACTGACATTTTCCCCTCCTCATCTTTTCTGACTCTTTTTCACCAGTTTAGCATTTGGCTAGGGTCACTGTCACTACTGTGAGCATGAGGCGCTACCTGGACCCTACAGAGGTTGCACAGGCAGTCCAACTCCTCCAGGATGGCGCATCAATACGTGCCATTGCCAGAAGGTTTGCTGCGTCTCCCAGCACAATCTGAAGAGCATGGAGGAGATTCCAGGAGACAGGCAGTTCCTCCAGGAGAGCTGGACAGGGCTGTAGAAGGTCTACAACCCATCAGCAGGACCGCTATCTGCTCCTCTGTGCAAGGAGGAGCAGGAGGAGCACTGCCAGAGCCCTACAGAATGACCTCCAGCAGGCCACTGGTGTGAATGTCTCTGACCAAACAATCAGAAACAGACTCCACGAGGGCGGCCTGAGGGCCCCACGTCCTCTAGTGGGCCCTGTGCTCACTGCCCGGCACCGTGGAGCTCCATTGGCATTGGCCATATAGTTCTAGTGAGGACGCAGGCAGCAGCGTCTGGATCAGCTGTCTGATCTACTTTCTATAGTTCTAGTGAGGACGCAGGCAGCAGCATCTGGATCAGCTGTCTGATCTACTTTCTATAGTTCTAGTGAGGACGCAGGCAGCAGCGTCTGGATCAGCTGTCTGATCTACTTTCTATAGTTCTAGTGAGGACGCAGGCAGCAGCGTCTGGATCAGCTGTCTGATCTACTTTCTATAGTTCTAGTGAGGACGCAGGCAGCAGCATCTGGATCAGCTGTCTGATCTACTTTCTATAGTTCTAGTGAGGACGCAGGCAGCAGCGTCTGGATCAGCTGTCTGATCTACTTTCTATAGTTCTAGTGAGGACGCAGGCAGCAGCGTCTGGATCAGCTGTCTGATCTACTTTCTATAGTTCTAGTGAGGACGCAGGCAGCAGCGTCTGGATCAGCTGTCTGATCTACTTTCTATAGTTCTAGTGAGGACGCAGGCAGCAGCGTCTGGATCAGCTGTCTGATCTACTTTCTATAGTTCTAGTGAGGACGCAGGCAGCAGCATCTGGATCAGCTGTCTGATCTACTTTCTATAGTTCTAGTGAGGACGCAGGCAGCAGCGTCTGGATCAGCTGTCTGATCTACTTTCTATAGTTCTAGTGAGGACGCAGGCAGCAGCGTCTGGATCAGCTGTCTGATCTACTTTCTATAGTTCTAGTGAGGACGCAGGCAGCAGCGTCTGGATCAGCTGTCTGATCTACTTTCTATAGTTCTAGTGAGGACGCAGGCAGCAGCGTCTGGATCAGCTGTCTGATCTACTTTCTATAGTTCTAGTGAGGACGCAGGCAGCAGCGTCTGGATCAGCTGTCTGATCTACTTTCTATAGTTCTAGTGAGGACGCAGGCAGCAGCATCTGGATCAGCTGTCTGATCTACTTTCTATAGTTCTAGTGAGGACGCAGGCAGCAGCGTCTGGATCAGCTGTCTGATCTACTTTCTATAGTTCTAGTGAGGACGCAGGCAGCAGCATCTGGATCAGCTGTCTGATCTACTTTCTATAGTTCTAGTGAGGACGCAGGCAGCGGCGTCTGGATCAGCTGTCTGATCTACTTTCTATAGTTCTAGTGAGGACGCAGGCAGCAGCGTCTGGATCAGCTGTCTGATCTACTTTCTATAGTTCTAGTGAGGACGCAGGCAGCAGCATCTGGATCAGCTGTCTGATCTACTTTCTATAGTTCTAGTGAGGACGCAGGCAGCAGCGTCTGGATCAGCTGTCTGATCTACTTTCTATAGTTCTAGTGAGGACGCAGGCAGCAGCGTCTGGATCAGCTGTCTGATCTACTTTCTATAGTTCTAGTGAGGACGCAGGCAGCAGCGTCTGGATCAGCTGTCTGATCTACTTTCTATAGTTCTAGTGAGGACGCAGGCAGCAGCGTCTGGATCAGCTGTCTGATCTACTTTCTATAGTTCTAGTGAGGACGCAGGCAGCAGCGTCTGGATCAGCTGTCTGATCTACTTTCTATAGTTCTAGTGAGGACGCAGGCAGCAGCATCTGGATCAGCTGTCTGATCTACTTTCTATAGTTCTAGTGAGGAAGCAGGCAGCAGCGTCTGGATCAGCTGTCTGATCTACTTTCTATAGTTCTAGTGAGGACGCAGGCAGCAGCGTCTGGATCAGCTGTCTGATCTACTTTCTATAGTTCTAGTGAGGACGCAGGCAGCAGCGTCTGGATCAGCTGTCTGATCTACTTTCTATAGTTCTAGTGAGGACGCAGGCAGCAGCATCTGGATCAGCTGTCTGATCTACTTTCTATAGTTCTAGTGAGGACGCAGGCAGCAGCGTCTGGATCAGCTGTCTGATCTACTTTCTATAGTTCTAGTGAGGATGCAGGCAGCAGCGTCTGGATCAGCTGTCTGATCTACTTTCTATAGTTCTAGTGAGGACGCAGGCAGCAGCGTCTGGATCAGCTGTCTGATCTACTTTCTATAGTTCTAGTGAGGACGCAGGCAGCAGCGTCTGGATCAGCTGTCTGATCTACTTTCTATAGTTCTAGTGAGGACGCAGGCAGCAGCTGTCTGATCTACTTTCTATAGTTCTAGTGAGGACGCAGGCAGCAGCGTCTGGATCAGCTGTCTGATCTACTTTCTATAGTTCTAGTGAGGACGCAGGCAGCAGCGTCTGGATCAGCTGTCTGATCTACTTTCTATAGTTCTAGTGTCACCATGTTAGCTAACTTCCTGTTAGCCCTGGTCACATCTGTGTTTGATCTCTGAGCTCTCCTCTCCTCGTTCTTCGTGTTTCCATCTTTTTTTAATATTCTAAATATTTGCGTCTCAGTGAAATTTTAATTGGCGACATCATCATTTATGACGCAGGATTTTTGAATAACACCAACCAGAAAGAAAGAAGGGATAACGTTTGGTTCAAGACTTCACCTGTCTTCAGGTTTTCACACCATAGAACCAAAACCTTTTCATAGATAAACAACTTTTTGGAAAAAAAAAAAAAGCTGAGAAGAAAATAACCTATGGCGGCGGTCCGACTGTCCTCCTGATCAGAACCGACTCCAGTCCGGCTGGGACTGCTGCTCTGCTCCGCTTCTGGAGACGAAGCCGGAGAGAAGGAGAGAAGGGTGAGTGTGGATAAAGTGACAGAGGGACAGAGAGACATACAGACGGTTGGACAGACCTTTCTCCTGCACATAGAAAGCGAGGTAGAGGTCGAGCTCCTTCACAGAGACGGAGATGTGTCGCGGCTGAACGCAGAGAACAGGGTTGGAGCACTGCCCCCCCTTTACCAGGCGCTCTCCATCTGTGCTTTCTAGAGGGATTCCTTTGAAGAGGATCACCATCACCAGGTCCAACCTCCACACCTGGAATACACACATCAGAGCACCGTCACTCCACCCAAACACCTGGAATACACACATCAGAGCACCGTCACTCCACCCAAACACCTGGAATACACACATCAGAGCACCGTCACTCCACCCAAACACCTGGAATACACACATCAGAGCACCGTCACTCCACCCAAACACCTGGAATACACACATCAGATCACCGTCACTCCACCCAAACACCTGGAATACACACATCAGATCACCGTCACTCCACCCAAACACCTGGAATACACACATCAGATCACCGTCACTCCACCCAAACACCTGGAATACAAACATCAGATCACCGTCACTCCACCCAAACACCTGGAATACACACATCAGATCACCGTCACTCCACGCAAACACCTGGAATACACACATCAGATCACCGTCACTCCACCCAAACACCTGGAATACACACATCAGATCACCGTCACTCCACCCAAACACCTGGAATACACACATCAGATCACCGTCACTCCACCCAAACACCTGGAATACACACATCAGAGCACCGTCACTCCACCCAAACACCTGGAATACACACATCAGAGCACCGTCACTCCACCCAAACACCTGGAATACACACATCAGAGCACCGTCACTCCACCCAAACACCTGGAATACACACATCAGAGCACCGTCACTCCACCCAAACACCTGGAATACACACATCAGAGCACCGTCACTCCACCCAAACACCTGGAATACACACATCAGATCACCGTCACTCCACCCAAACACCTGGAATACACACATCAGATCACCGTCACTCCACCCAAACACCTGGAATACACACATCAGATCACCGTCACTCCACCCAAACACCTGGAATACACACATCAGATCACCGTCACTCCACCCAAACACCTGGAATACACACATCAGATCACCGTCACTCCACCCAAACACCTGGAATACACACATCAGATCACCGTCACTCCACGCAAACACCTGGAATACACACATCAGATCACCGTCACTCCACCCAAACACCTGGAATACACACATCAGAGCACCGTCACTCCACCCAAACACCTGGAATACACACATCAGAGCACCGTCACTCCACCCAAACACCTGGAATACACACATCAGAGCACCGTCACTCCACCCAAACACCTGGAATACACACATCAGAGCACCGTCACTCCACCCAAACACCTGGAATACACACATCAGAGCACCGTCACTCCACCCAAACACCTGGAATACACACATCAGAGCACCGTCACTCCACCCAAACACCTGGAATACACACATCAGATCACCGTGACTCCACGCAAACACCTGGAATACACACATCAGATAACCGTCACTCCACCCAAACACCTGGAATACACACATCAGATCACCGTCACTCCACCCAAACACCTGGAATACACACATCAGAGCACCGTCACTCCACCCAAACACCTGGAATACACACATCTACATCAGATCACCGTCACTCCACGCAAACACCTGGAATACACACATCAGAGCACCGTCACTCCACCCAAACACCTGGAATACACACATCAGATCACTGTCACTCCACCCAAACACCTGGAATACACACATCAGATCACCGTCACTCCACCCAAACACCTGGAATACACACATCAGATCATCGTCACTCCACCCAAACACCTGGAATACACACATCAGATCATCGTCACTCCACCCAAACACCTGGAATACACACATCAGATCACCGTCACTCCACCCAAACACCTGGAATACACACATCAGATCACCGTCACTCCACCCAAACACCTGGAATACACACATCAGATCACCGTCACTCCACCCAAACACCTGGAATACACACATCAGATCACCGTCACTCCACCCAAACACCTGGAATACACACATCAGATCACCGTCACTCCACCCAAACACCTGGAATACACACATCAGATCACCGTCACTCCACCCAAACACCTGGAATACACACATCAGAGCACCGTCACTCCACCCAAACACCTGGAATACACACATCTACATCAGATCACCGTCACTCCACCCAAACACCTGGAATACACACATCAGAGCACCGTCACTCCACCCAAACACCTGGAATACACACATCAGATCACCGTCACTCCACCCAAACACCTGGAATACACACATCAGATCACCGTCACTCCACCCAAACACCTGGAATACACACATCAGAGCACCGTCACTCCACCCAAACACCTGGAATACACACATCAGAGCACCGTCACTCCACGCAAACACCTGGAATACACACATCAGAGCACCGTCACTCCACCCAAACACCTGGAATACACACATCAGAGCACCGTCACTCCACCCAAACACCTGGAATACACACATCAGATCACCGTCACTCCACCCAAACACCTGGAATACACACATCAGATCACCGTCACTCCACCCAAACACCTGGAATACACACATCAGATCACCGTCACTCCACCCAAACACCTGGAATACACACATCAGATCACCGTCACTCCACCCAAACACCTGGAATACACACATCAGAGCACCGTCACTCCACGCAAACACCTGGAATACACACATCAGAGCACCGTCACTCCACCCAAACACCTGGAATACACACATCAGATCACCGTCACTCCACCCAAACACCTGGAATACACACATCAGAGCACCGTCACTCCACGCAAACACCTGGAATACACACATCAGAGCACCGTCACTCCACCCAAACACCTGGAATACACACATCAGATCACCGTCACTCCACCCAAACACCTGGAATACACACATCAGATCACCGTCACTCCACCCAAACACCTGGAATACACACATCAGATCACCGTCACTCCACCCAAACACCTGGAATACACACATCAGATCACCGTCACTCCACCCAAACACCTGGAATACACACATCAGAGCACCGTCACTCCACGCAAACACCTGGAATACACACATCAGATCACCGTCACTCCACCCAAACACCTGGAATACACACATCAGATCACCGTCACTCCACCCAAACACCTGGAATACACACATCAGATCACCGTCACTCCACCCAAACACCTGGAATACACACATCAGATCACCGTCACTCCACCCAAACACCTGGAATACACACATCAGATCACCGTCACTCCACCCAAACACCTGGAATACACACATCAGATCACCGTCACTCCACCCAAACACCTGGAATACACACATCAGATCACCGTCACTCCACCCAAACACCTGGAATACACACATCAGATCACCGTCACTCCACCCAAACACCTGGAATACACACATCAGATCACCGTCACTCCACCCAAACACCTGGAATACACACATCAGAGCACCGTCACTCCACCCAAACACCTGGAATACACACATCAGATCACCGTCACTCCACCCAAACACCTGGAATACACACATCAGATCACCGTCACTCCACCCAAACACCTGGAATACACACATCAGAGCACCGTCACTCCACCCAAACACCTGGAATACACACATCAGATCACCGTCACTCCACCCAAACACCTGGAATACACACATCAGAGCACCGTCACTCCACCCAAACACCTGGAATACACACATCAGAGCACCGTCACTCCACGCAAACACCTGGAATACACACATCAGATCACCGTCACTCCACCCAAACACCTGGAATACACACATCAGATCACCGTCACTCCACCCAAACACCTGGAATACACACATCAGAGCACCGTCACTCCACGCAAACACCTGGAATACACACATCAGATCACCGTCACTCCACCCAAACACCTGGAATACACACATCAGATCACCGTCACTCCACCCAAACACCTGGAATACACACATCAGATCACCGTCACTCCACCCAAACACCTGGAATACACACATCAGATCACCGTCACTCCACCCAAACACCTGGAATACACACATCAGATCACCGTCACTCCACCCAAACACCTGGAATACACACATCAGAGCACCGTCACTCCACCCAAACACCTGGAATACACACATCAGATCACCGTCACTCCACCCAAACACCTGGAATACACACATCAGATCACCGTCACTCCACCCTAACACCTGGAATACACACATCAGATCACCGTCACTCCACCCAAACACCTGGAATACACACATCAGATCACCGTCACTCCACCCAAACACCTGGAATACACACATCAGAGCACCGTCACTCCACCCAAACACCTGGAATACACACATCAGATCACCGTCACTCCACCCAAACACCTGGAATACACAGATCAGAGCACCGTCACTCCACCCAAACACCTGGAATACACACATCAGATCACCGTCACTCCACCCAAACACCTGGAATACACACATCAGATCACCGTCACTCCACCCAAACACCTGGAATACACACATCAGAGCACCGTCACTCCACCCAAACACCTGGAATACACACATCAGATCACCGTCACTCCACCCAAACACCTGGAATACACACATCAGAGCACCGTCACTCCACGCAAATACCTGGAATACACACATCAGAGCACCGTCACTCCACGCAAACACCTGGAATACACACATCAGATCACCGTCACTCCACCCAAACACCTGGAATACACACATCAGATCACCGTCACTCCACCCAAACACCTGGAATACACACATCAGAGCACCGTCACTCCACGCAAACACCTGGAATACACACATCAGATCACCGTCACTCCACCCAAACACCTGGAATACACACATCAGATCACCGTCACTCCACCCAAACACCTGGAATACACACATCAGATCACTGTCACTCCACCCAAACACCTGGAATACACACATCAGATCACCGTCACTCCACCCAAACACCTGGAATACACACATCAGATCACCGTCACTCCACCCAAACACCTGGAATACACACATCAGAGCACCGTCACTCCACCCAAACACCTGGAATACACACATCAGATCACCGTCACTCCACCCAAACACCTGGAATACACACATCAGATCACCGTCACTCCACCCAAACACCTGGAATACACACATCAGATCACCGTCACTCC